AAAAAAATAGTAGGTGCTTAATTTGCATACTATCAATTAATTAAATAAAAGACGAATTTAACCACAAGGTATAGAGAAATGGGACGTTCATTTTTTAACTACGTACACTATAAATTAAGAGGTGACTACTTGGAAAATACTTGTAGTAAATTAATTTTGATGGTTTCCGTCCCGTGCGTGCCTAAAGGATAAAATTAATAAGTCATAAAACTATATCTTATCATGTCTTTATTTTATTATATTTATCATTATTATTATTATGAATTTGGAAAAAGCAATTATATATATTGAGGAAGTTTTATTTCGCAAGATTCTATGCTGCTACGTACACGTACGTACCCTATGTTTATTACTACTTCTATGCTGCTAATTAATCTCTGGGATGGATATATATTAATTGTTCTGATGTTTTGTAATCTGTATTATTTTATTTATCATCATATCATATCGCATCTTTATATATATATATATATATATATATATATGTGGGCACAAACGAAAATCAGACAAGAATAAGTAACAATAATTAACATGGGATTGAATTTTGTGATGATACATAGACGTACGACGTCTTTTCTTTTCTTGTGATTTATCAAAATTTGTCATTATATATAACTTCTGCACTACACACATATATATATAGGCTGCATATTCTTTTTTTTTTGGTTGTATCAAACTTAAGTGCTATATATATACGTGTGATTAATTAACTACTACTTGTGTCACAGTAAGAAGCGCAACATGCTTAGGGTTAGGGAAGGGCCTTATTGTATTAATTATATTAATTAATGGCTAGCTTCTGTTGATTATTATTTATTTATTGTAGACGACAAGAATCAAGAAAACAGTTTTTTAGGCTTTTAGCTAATCATCAATTCGATCGTCATTTAGTTTAATCAAATAAATAAATTGTGTTTGATGAGTTAACTAATTTTGAGAGAAGTACTACTTAATTAATTGCATATGTCAATATAATTAATCAATAGTGCCAATAAGGAGTTAGTGTATATATATATATATATATATATATCATGCTGAGGATGATGATGATGATGATGATTATGCCACTAAATAAATGAATAAAGGGCAAATTAGTCTTTTAGGGACGGTAAATATCGAAAATGGGGCGGTGTTTAGCGGTTCACTTAAATAATCGAGTTGAGTTGACTAATTATTACTCCATTAGTTCCAACAATTATTTTCTCCTAAAAATGCGTTCTT